TAAACGAGAGACTTCAGACTTGCCATGATAAATTCAGGGCACGCAAATGAAAGGAAGCAGAATCCGAATGTTAATCATACAGCGGCATGAAAATGAGATAGTTACTGGCATCACAAACCAAACCTGGTAGCTGAATTCTGACGCGCAGTGGAAGCCAATTAGAAGGACATGCAAGTTACAGCCATACCACGAAACCCACGGGATTGGTCACTTACATCACACTACAGCTTCAAGATTAATTACAATCAAGCCATTCTGTTAATTTCAAGTCCGAACTAACATGCCTGGCCAGAGTAACAGGGAAGAGCATGCACATATTTTGTAATGTTGGACCAATTGAAGGTTCTCTTGCCACTAGTTCCGGACGTCGTGGATAGCTTTAAGGGGCTTTGAGTGCAATTCTTGTAAGCTTTAAGAAAAGGGTCATCTTCCTTGCGATGACTCTCTTTCATCTGAACGGCGCAGAGAATCAGTGGCGGAGCCTGCTGCTTGTCATCCAGAGCTCGTACGCTGTAAGGCCCAGCTAACGAGCACGGAGGAGGCGATAGTACAGATTGAGTGGAGTGCCTGACTGCGTCTCTTTTGGACCGTTGACGGGCAACCTTGGAGAGACCAGGCTTGTATTCCCATGAGAAGGGAACATTGATTGGAGAACAATATACTTCGTTACAGGCATAGCCGCCGATGCTGTACTTCCTCTGCAGCATCATCAACGTGGTTGGGTGCATCAGTTGCTCACTCTGCTTCAACTGATCACGATTCCGGCTACTTAATTATTATGGATGGTAGCTATATATGTCACGAGCTTGGCGATTTTAACGGTGGAATAATTCCACAATTTGGTAGATTGAATTAGCTTGTAGATTAATCTATGGCAGCATAACATCCGGGTGAGACGAAAATATGTGTAACTGCACGAAGATTCGCGTAAGTTGTGATTCATGATAAATATATAAATGAAATTAAGGAAACGTAGAAAATGAAACTCTGGCACGACTTACAGAACTAGCTATAGCTTCTATCAGTTAGACTAAAAGACAAAATATTGATTGGACATGCCTTCTCTTCACCCTTTGGTCCTTGCCCATCCAAATACATATACATGGGTAGGTTGTTAAAAAAGCTTAGTTTGATCGTTACGTGGGTGGACAATTACGGGAAGATTAATGCCGAAGAAAGGAATGGTAAATCGGGATGCAACAGAATATCTTTACATCAGACAACGTACTTTAATTCTTTCGTGGTTGAAAAAGGCTGAATATTGGCATTTTTCAAGTTAGTTTCCACGATATCAGTTAAAGAAGAGTTTTCGCATCCAGTGATTGATGTTGACTATCTTGTCTCGTGGTTGTAGTTGATTGTTTGTTTTGTGAAGAAACAGTCGACTTTGGTATTTTCTTCAAATACAGTTGTAGGTTGTAACGTAGATACGTAGGTATGCCGTCTTTGTCAAGGAGCAACTGGTAAGATACAATCAAGGGGGTCAAATAATCAATTTCTGTCATTTCGATTCGGGCGGAGAAAATTGATCCACCAGTTGCTCGCGGGACTTAGAGAGCTTTGTCGTCGACGTGAATTCAGAGTAGGAGTCTTGTTGGAATTTGTTTTTAGTTTGATACAAGGATCGGTGAATGATTCTTGTTGATATGAGGCGATAATGACATCGGAACTCATCTTTTAAAACCAAATTTTGATATTTTGATTTCCGAGATAAGTCAAATGTTGCTTCGAAACACAGAAAAAGTATTCTGAAGTCTAATGTACGCACTCGAGAATTTTATGTTGGTCCAGACATTTGGCTTCGAAACAAGGCATTTCTCTGAGCCAATACTTCGTGAGTGGTATTCAGATGGTTCGGAACCAGTAAAATGTATGGGTTACAAAGAATTCTGTATCCATCTTAGTAATTAGCACGTGTTGACGAGGGAAGGTACGTGATATGAAGATGTTCATCCAACCTGATTAAGCGCGATTGATCTAAAATGCAAGCATCGCCTCACCCACATCAGTATATATGCATCGCCTTTTTGGGGCACTCGCTATTCTAGCTTGTATATTAATAATTGGAAATATCCCACCTAGTGGCGTCCTGCTGCTTATGACTTTGGGCCTTAAAAAAATGGGCGGAAAAATCTCTTTAGTTAACCTGCACATGATCCATAACATGTGAATATGCCATGCACATTAAAATCAGAGAAAACAATTGTTGCGGTCACCGTCTAACATTTCTCTGCCAGAGATCTTGATTAGTGTTTTCTTTTAAAATAAGTATATATGTTTCTGATCATAATTGATGAGGCCAACTAGTATTTTATATGCTACAGTGGCCAGCTGGGTCGATGTCACTTTTGTTATTGTATCGCTCATATTTTATTTTAATCTGTACCATGTAATGCATAAAATATTTGATTCCACTGCGCAGGCTTTCGTTTTAATTCATGTCTTACGAATGATTGTTGCCACGGGTTTGATCGATGAGGGGGCGAATACCCGAGAGTGACTAATGAGTAAGGGCCTTCAGATTTAATTATTGAGCAACTTGACGGTGAAGATGATCACTTGTCTTCTCCTTTACCCTTCTGGCGTAGTTTGCGCATGTATGCTTCCATGTCTCTTTATGTGATTCACCTAATCCGATTAGCATTAAACAAACCTTATATGGTAGTACTCTCGCTGTAAAGTTGTTGAGCTGTAATTTGCAGCATCAGCATCTCCCTATCCAGATTCTAATTAAGCATCCCTCAATATAATAATCTACACAAATCATGAATATAGCATGAGAGTTGCATTTTATTGTTTTTTATTTCCATCTCTTCTTTTTATATCGATCTTTTTACTATCCAAATTTGAACCAATTTTTTTTTTTCGCAATAATTATTTCACCAAACATTTATTTATACTGAAAAATTTCAGTTATTGAGGTCTTGAACTTGGAGAAGTTGAGTTGGCTGGCAAACTAACTAAATAAAGAGGAGAAAGGGAAGGGAAATATTGTTGATGATGACCGTAAAGATGATGGGGTGTAACCATGGAAAGCAAAGAGTGTTCTTAAAACGAGGCCAAAACAACTAGTAATATATTAAGCAGAGAGGGAGAGTACCGATGCACGAACCATATCTTGAAAAGATTGCTCTCTAAGCCACAAGCTCATCATTGCTAATGAAAAACAGGACCACATATCTCGGAATGTGGACCGTGTGAGTTTGCAGCTTCACGCCTGATATAAGCTTCTCTCTTTTGGTTGTCTTTAATTAATGGTTCAGCTTCACGTAATTTCAGAGGTGAATGGATGAACGCATTATTTATTTATCATTCTAAAAATAAAAAAAAAAATAGCATGGATCTCGCTCCATCTTCTTGCCTCCGATTAAGGTGGGTCAATGGCCTTTAATCTAATCTATATGATGCGACAGAGCCTCAAGAATTTGGGATTCCCCGCTCAGATTGAAGTTATAATATTCATTGATTATATCTCAACTTGCTAGCTGTAACTGTTTCTTCCCCATTTCCGTTGTTAATATTGTTGGTTTCCACACTTTCCACAGTCTCATTATTTGTTCATTTTCAAACCTCTTCCAAATCTCTGACCAAAAAAAAAAAAAACTCTTCCATGTCAGAAATTTGCGGATACTTCGTTTCCCACGGCCAATTAAAGTTTTGTTTAATGACATACAACTGAGTTTACACAGTTTACTGGAAATATATGATCCTAAAATGGCAACTTAAGTTTAACAGGTCCATTGAATCCACTGATTCTGCACAATGTTGAAAGCACACAACTTGCGCATGTGAATATATATATATGGAAAATGTCATTCAAGAAGGTGCCAAAGGAACCGAACATTTTCATTATATGTTCCTTCAAGTGGAGCTAGTTGCATTCTGAATTCCTAATTCAAACCCTGTAAATTGACCAGTGAGAAGTGGGAAACGTTGATATCAGTCACGAGTTAGGTAGGCGTACCATCTTAAATATCACATGCCCTATTCTAATTCCCATATAGCTCCCTCAGTCATCTCAAATCGCAACCACTGCTCAGTACTCTGAGATAATTTCAACATATTATCATCTAATTTCAAAATTGGCCCGTTAATTCAGGCTTCTTAGATGCATGGAGGACGTAACAGCAAGGAGACCCAAAGGAATCCTGCGAGGCATATTATATTATTATACACCTATACGGTTGTACTTCTATGGTAAATCAATCAGTAGTATTCGTTCAACTTGATACTGATGTTATAAGTAATGGGATTTATTAAAATATTGTTACCATCAAATTTCATATATACAATGATAAAAGCGTGTGATGATTTGGTTAAACTGGATTGGGTGGGGGTAGGCATGGGAATAAATAGCAGAGCTACAGCTGGAAAACCGTACAAGAATAAGGTAAAAATGATGATTAGATTCCCATATTCCTTCCTCATCTTGCTCAGGCTCGAGCTCTCTGTTCCTAGTTACTACAATATACAAAAAGCCTGCTGTCCCCTGCCTGCTGGTACCGAGATTATTGCTTAAATAATTGTCAAAGCAAACACAGAGGAAATCATAGCGTGTTACTGCCAGGCTGCCTCCACACACTATTCTCTCCCTCACTCTGCATCACCGCCTTACACTTGTCCCCTATAGTCCACCCTCCGAATTAATCCAAATAGTTTTTGAAGCAAAGATTTAGTGGGGCCGGTTCTGGGGACCATCATGTACACTCAACAGGGTGGTTCATGAATAACATGAGGGAGGCTAGGTGAATAGTTGTGGGTTCATCAAAAGAAATGGAAGAAGTTAGCTCATTATGATTAAAATGAGTGCGTAACACGCTCCACATAGAGAGAGAGAGAGAGAAGATCTGTTTAAACAGTTGGCAAATGTGTCAGTGAAAAATCATATCATAGTATATAAAAAGATGTACGCCAATGAATATTGATTATGGAAGGAGCAAGCCCTCCCTTGAAGAGAAGTCTTGAAACCCAATGGACACATGAAAGTAGGAAAAAGCAGAGGTGTAAATAAAATATTAATTAAACAAACCTGAAAATTACCACTAGTAAAGTGTAAGAGGAAAAAGATACTAGGTTCTCTAATAATTCAGCAACAGGAGCAGTTGGCAGTAGTTTGTGTTTCTTTTAAATACATACATGTCACCTCTTGGCTTGGTCAGGTACACGAGTCTCTAACTCTTACTTCTCTGTCTTTCTAGCTTGGCAGTTGTTCCTGGAGTTGTCTGTAACATATGAAAGTTGGATTTTTATGCTAATACCCTATTGGTATGATTGGTTTGTGCTGTGGAATTTAATCAAGCATTTGATGCTCCTGTTGATACGATCACACACGCAGTGAAGGGTATCAGATTACCGTGCTAAGCAGCCCTTTCATCGGTCATCGTATGATTTACGTAGAATTTGATGCTTCTGCTCGTTCTCAATTCTGAAATTCCCGCCCGAGAATTTGCTAGAGTTTCCCCTGGTTTTCTCCTTTTTTGTCTTTAAATCCTCACTAGATATACTTTGTCTATTCGTTCGGATTTCAACAACATACGCAATATCGACATCTCTTATTCGTTGGAGCTCGTACTTGAGTCAATCAAGCTCTGGTCGAAAAGACTAGAGCTTGCTGGCATCAGTCACTTGGGTGTTCGACTAAATGTGGCAATGAAACCTTTAGTTATTTTAGGGACAAAGGATAAAAGGGAATCTGCTTTAGTTGTTGTTTGATGGGCTAGATGTTGGCAAATCCCATGGTTTGTCTAGTCTGCTTTGTGCTTTGAAAGGTTCACTTTCCTGTCTGAGCATTATAGCAGAGTTGATCCTAGGGTTTGCGAGGGATGAGGGAAGTAGCCGGTGACAAGTAGCTTATATTCCTTTTACTTTGGGTCTATGTTACAATAAGATGTTTCTTTTACTTTAACTTCCTCTCTGTCCTATAAAGCTGCCAAGCCTATTTGTTCCTTGTTGAGCCCTGCAAGATATCTCCATTCAACCAAGCTTAGTCAAAATTTATTTTCCCTTTAATCATGCAATTATTTATTTCTAGTGTAGTGTAGGTTTATTACTTTACATGCAGCCCCAGTCTGGTCAAATTTTGGAATCATAAGTCCTCTAGTTATATTATATAGGTTAGTTTATTAGTTCTGGGAGTGTGGGTATCGAATGCAGGATATGGGGGCTCATGAAAATGTCATGGGGTTTCAACACAGGAACGAGAGTATTCTGAGTCGTCCAGTATCTGGTTTGGGCACCAATGTTTCAGATTTAAGCAATCCTTTTCTTGGTCCATCTGCTTGGGATCCACTTTTTTCATTGAGTCAGACTCAAAGCTTTGGAGGCTCGTCATTGGTTTCCCAGAGTGACCTTGCCAACCCTTCTTACCCGAGTGTCATGGAAAATCAGGGAATGAGCAGCTCCTCTCCCTTTGTTCACTATATGCCTGACTCAAATTTTGCGGATATGATCCCAAAAATCCCCTCCTTTGGCAATGGTGATATAGCTAACGCAGGATATGTGTCAAATTATAATCCACGTAAGGAAACAGGCATCGGAACGGCTTCAATAAATGATGCGCAAGTACTAGGTGAACATTCCACTCCTGAAGATGGAGCCACATCTGCACCTATTGGAAATAAAAGAAAACGAGGGCTTGATCATGATCCTACATTCAATCGAAGTAAGGTACGTCGAATATTTTCAGAGAAAATTGAATGTTCTGAATCATTATTCTGTATTTCATTCCTTGAAAAGTCATTTAAAATGGTGCTCAATTTATAGAATAGAAATGCTTTTATGACTCATAAAATATCAGTCTCATCTAAGAAGTATTTCAATCTGTATTTTATTTTGTTTCGTGAGCTAATGAATGAATAACTGCATATCCTCCGATTAGAGCGCTGAAGGGGAAGCACTGAAGGGTTCATCAGGGAAAAGTTCTGATGGCGTGAGAGAACAAGAAGATAAGAAGCCAAAACTAGATCAGAACACTAGTGCAGATTTGCGTGGTAAGCAATCAGTGAAGCAAGCTAAAGACAACTCTCACAGTGGAGAAGCTCCCAAAGAAAATTTCATCCATGTGAGAGCTCGAAGAGGTCAAGCTACAAATAGTCATAGCCTTGCAGAAAGGGTACCTTCTTGTTGCACATGTTTGCTACAAGTAACCCATTTGTTTTGTTTAAAAGTAAATAATTGTCAAACGATTTCTTTTCTTTTTCGGGGGCAGATAAGAAGAGAAAAGATAAGTGAGAGAATGAAGTTACTTCAAGAACTTGTTCCCGGATGCAACAAGGTTGTTACAGACTATTGTTCTTCTCGTGATTTCTCATGTAATTACGCAGATTTTCATACTGATTTTCCGCCTTCATTGACTTGGTTTAGATAACTGGCAAAGCAGTAATGCTTGATGAGATTATCAACTACGTCCAATCACTGCAACAACAGGTTGAGGTAAGCTGTCTGAGAAGTGACCAGTCTCTACATTGTTAAGAAATTAAGCTATATCTAAGTTTTCTATTGCATATCATTCAAACCTGAATGATATGATTTCCAATATGTACTTGCTTCATCAATCATTTACCAGAAAATTGAGTTTTCGTTTGCCATCTCACATGATAACATGAAAGATTTAGACATTTTCCCAATCACTGAGTGCTGCTAACAGTTTTTATGATAAATATCGATCATGCTTATGGTGCCTCTCAACTTATATGCATTGCAGTTTTTGTCCATGAAACTTGCTACCGTGAACCCTGAACTGAATCTTGATGTAGAGCGGATCTTATCCAAAGATGTAAGTGAAGGTATTGACGCTTGAATTTGAATCATTTCTGTTACACAAATAATCTAAAGCTGTATTTTCTCGTGCTTAGATTCTGCAGTCGCGCATTGGATATGGGGCAATCGGTGGATACGGAGGTGCCATCATCAACTCAAATCACCTATTCACCGGTGGAAATTTTCAGGGGACCCTGGGAAGCATACCCAGCGCATCACCAAATATCCCACCTTTGCCTCAGGTAAATATCTTCAAAACACCGTAATCCTATCTTGTTTGTAAAAATGCTGATGCTCGCCGATGCAGAATGTTATGGATCATGAGCTCCAGAGCATTTATGGAATGGGATACGATTCTAATTCGGCTCTTCAAAATTTGGGACCACAAACAGGCCGGTAGGATATGTGCCCTTGCTTCTTTGGATAGTGTCTTGGATTCTTGCAGCTGAGTGCATCATTTCACTAAAGTTGAATAGAGAGGGAGAGTGTAAAATAATGGTTCGGTTGTATAGCATGTTAATACCTAACCCCTGGCTCTTCGAATTTTTAGCAGAAGATGCTTGATCACATCGAAGGAACCAGGTCATGCTGTGACCGGTGAAATTGATCACAAAATGTGTGAACTTCTGTAAGGTTTTTATATAAAGCTTTGAGCACAACAGATATTGTGAGGAATGCAAATATGTGGAAGCATATATATATATATATAGTTCAGAGAAAAAAAATTGTTTGTTTGTTTGTTTTGAGATGAGTAGCATCGGTCCTCTAGTGTATCATCGCAGTACAGTACCAACTACTGTAACTGCGTTGTTTGTCAATCAAGATTAAGTCCATGAGTGGAAGCTTTCAGCTCTCAGTTTATGTGAACCTATGCTAAAATTAAAGTTGATAACGACTCAAAACCCAACACAATTTGATATTGGGTGAAAACGGCAAGCTTGATTTTGGACAAAACAAATTGCGCGGTGATATACATGGTCTCGTCAAAAGGGGGTAGTGTGCATGGGATTGGGAATTGATCTCATTGTTAATTCCTGTTACATTTGGATTAGGGGAGAGATTTGGATTTGTACCAAATCCATTATTTTGATACATAAAGTTTCATGATTAATTCAAATCTATGCAAATTTTTTATTACAATTCTTTCAAAAATTCAAAAACCTAATCTACTCTAGTTAGTTTGCACATTATCCATCCTTTTTCAAAACTACTTATAAGTCATACAAGTAGGACAATTCATTATTATTGGCGTGAATATTTTCGGGTATGTTAAAATCCACTTAAAATAGGTTAATTTTGCGTGCACTTAAGCAGGTCCGAGCCAAAAAAAAAACCTAAAATATTTGGCATAGAAAGCATGCTAATAATGGTGGTAACGGCACGCATGAGTATGTTTGTTTATACGTGAGCGCATCTCTCCACGAATGATTTTATGAAGCAAAGAAAACTAATGTCTGTTAAGAGCGATGCTTTCTCATACACAAACGAAAAAAGCGCTTGCTGATAACCATGAAATGACAAAATAGCACAATCAGCATCAAGCGATGGTGAACCCTGTGAAACTGCCAGTTTCGCTTCTCTTAATCATAAGCAAACTTCCAACGGAGTGCAGTTAATTAATTAAATGCTTACTAAAATTTCAATGCATATGTGTCAAAAAAAAATTAAGGAAAATCAAGATTGAGAGTGCCGAATCTCGAGAGTTGAGGACTGGCACGTGAGGTGGGCCGAACAAAAGTGCTGTGATCAATGAAATGGGGCAACAAATAGACCAAAAACCTGGCGCTTTCGTTTACGCCCACCACATCCGTCCTAATCATGGTGCCTCGTGAAGGAATCAGTCAACTTGCGTGAATGATCCAACGTTAGTCTAGGCTACCTGCTACTACACTCTCATTAAATAGCTTCACAAGTATTCCTACGTACAGGGAAACGAATCCGTGCTCAACACCTGTGGGCGAGGTTCTCTCACGCTTTGTCATTACTTCTCTTCCGCTCTTTTAACTCTTGCCACATCCAGATTTAATTGCCGCTTTTTTTGTGTCGTACTGCCAAAACCCATCGGGATTTTTTTTTTTAAAAAAAGATCTAGATCATGGATGAATTATGAATTGTATTGAAGGTTTTAGAGAACAGTGCTAAAGCTACAGCAAGGATTTGGCGTGTCGAAATTCTTCTAGTAGGTAGAGCCTTCACAAAAAGCAAACACGGAACCATTCACCTCCTAGTGATGGGAAACAAGAAAGCAACCCCGCAAGGGAATTTCATAAAAATGGACTGTCGCTTTCTGTGTCTAGCAAGTCACAAATGATTTCGCATCTTTTGCGTGATGTTTGCCTACTAGAGCAGGCAGAACTTTTGGCTCCAAAGCGTGGAGCCATTTTGCTGGACAACAGTCCCAAGTGATGCAATTTCCAATTTCACTAGGTGAAGGTTGAACCACAATTTCAGCTTTCTTTATGACCAGACCTCAGCCCAGATAGAGTAAATGGCTACTGCCAATAGACCAATAAAACGTCTATATTTGTTAGGCTGCAAGGGGGGGGGGAATACTCAACACTGCAAATAGCAAACCCCCATCACAAATATAAAAATCAAGGGAGCAGAGGACCACTGAGTTACTAAGATAGACGTCACATTAGTCATCTCTTTTCTTGGAATGTCTGAAATGTTGAATTTGTATTCTAGCATAAAAGACTTAGAAACAGAACAAGAATGATAATGCCGTTCCTGCTTTTCAGTGTAACTAAACCCCTCCGCTGATAGTTGAAGCACAAGTTTTCTTACAAAAGAATTGGTCCAACAACAAAAGAATCGACAGTTTACAAGTGGAAAAAAAATAATAACAACAATAGTATTCTTACACAACGAAGAGGAGCAACCATCTTCTGATTTACTCCTGGAAGTCTAGTTTTTTGTGTCCAAAAAACGTTGATATCTATTGTATGGCAGATGGACGTGGAAAAGAAGCGTGGAGGAAGGAAGATGGACAAGTTTCCCCATAACTGCGATCATTGATTGATGGCACAGGGCAAGGGCGTCCTCCCAAGTTAGCCTGTATGCATCAGCCGTGTATATTTACAGAGAGGTATCAGTCCACCTGTTCCCCTATCAAGTCTAGACCAACTAACAGGAAGGATATTCCTTGGAATAGCAAGAAGTAGAAGTGGATTCCCTGAGCAGACAGGAGACTCCTTGCTGATGCCGTTAAAAGAAGAAAGGCCAAAGAAAGCTCCTTCAAATATATTCTGTTATGCTTCTTCTTCTTAAATGCCTTTTGCTCCTCTCGTAGAATTACCTCCTTCATTTCCTCAAGATCAGGCACCGACGCCCCTCTTTGATGCCTAGGGGTTTTCTCAACCAACGCAACAAGATCACCCTCAGAGGAACGACCAGATTTCTTAGTCACAATCCACTCATATGCACTACCAAGCTGCAGTAGGCCAGAGATCATGGCATTAAATTTAGTAACAGACATTGTATTCTCAAAGAGGAGGTAGGGTACAATGAAGGGAAAGGATTTTGGGGCTGGAAGGATGTTAAGAAATGACATGACTGCGGGGATATAACATACAACCCATTCAGGAAGCACAGCCTCTGGAACAAACATTGTCGTAGGCAGAATTATACAGAACAGGGTAAATGAATAGAACGGCAATATCAGTTTTCTCAATAGAAAGAAGAGAAAGATCAAATTGAATTTCTTCCATATGCTTATCTGCAGAAGCAAAATTGGTATCAGAATCACAAGTACCAGCATTGCATAAAGCTGTCAAGATTAATGTATTGTAAAATTGCCTCCAGAAATAACATACATTAGACTGAATGATGTCAGGCAAACAAAGGCGGAATAGTTGCATTGGACCAGAATGCCACCTGTGTTGTTGTTTCCTGTAAGCTTCATAAGACTCTGGCACTTCACATTGACACTGGAAGCATAAGCAACTAGCATTATATTGTGTGAGAATTAAGCAATGGAATCCAATGATAGGTTTGAATTTATGAGAGGAAGACCTCAACATCATTGAGATAAATAAATTTCCATCCGTGAAGATGAGCCCGAACAGCAATGTCCATGTCCTCAACCGTGGTCCTCTCTAACCACCCACCAGCTTCCTCTAAAGCCTTGATTCTCCACACTCCAGCGGTTCCATTGAACCCAAAAAAATTAATGAAAACACCATTTACCTGCTGTTCCACCTCAAAATGGAATGCCAGGTTTATGTTCTGCAACCTTGTTAGCAGGTTCTCATCCTTGTTCACGAAAGACCATCTAGCTTGAACTAGTCCTAATTCCTCATTGTCCTGTAGCATCATCAATTGGATTGATTCACTATAACATACGTAATTACAATGCTTGCCGGATGACGTCTGAGTACTTCTTCGATCATGACAGAGACTATACCCTAATTTTGGACTAAGTGATGAGGTACATAACAAGCCATTGAATTGAATTACCTTGAAATGAGGAACTGTTCTCTTCAGGAAATCTGGGGCAGGTTGAAAATCAGCATCAAAAATAGCCACGAATTCATAGTCTTTCACATAGCTACAATTCATGGCAGACTTGAGATTACCAGCCTTGTATCCGTCTCTTATCACCCGATGCCGGTACAAAATGTTGGCACCCTCTTGCTGCCATTTTCGGACCTCTTCCTTGATCAGAAATTGTGTGTTCGGGTCATCGGAATCATCAAGAACTTGAATTAGTAACTTGGGTTTTGGCCAATCCAAATTACAAGCAGCAGAAATTGATTGTTGATAAACCTGAGCAAATTCAGCATGTTAGACCAACAAAACTCGGTGCTCAATTCAACACAGATATTAGAACAGATGGGAATTAGATCTTCACCTCTCTCTCATTACACATGGGGATCTGCACTAGCACCATTGGGAAGAAACCTTTCTCGCCGGACTCGAGATCTACAGCACCTTCCTTCGGAACAGGTTTGATCTTCTTAAACCGAATCCAGAAACAACCGAGACATAGAATCAATCTGTCCAGACTCTGAATAAGGAATAGCACAATACATACATTGGCCAGGAGTTGCAAAGGAGGAGCGAGATAGGCCACCCGAAACAAGACCCACCGCGAATACAGCCAATCGAAAACATCTCTAACACCAAATGAGGCCACCCACGTATAATCAAGTTGGAGATGAGGCGCACGAAAATGCCAGCCCTTAAAGTAGGCAGCCACCTCGAAACACAGCAGAAGCACGGACAACCAGAGGAACAATTTTATAAACGAATAAAACCTGCTTTTCACGGTGGGGTTCTCTTTTTCCCTGCCACCACGGATTTCGTTTTCGTTGTCGGCGTCGGCGTCCGTTCTTCCCGAAGCTACTCGGCGCTTCACAGCTGAGGCCAGGCCCAACAATGCTGAGCCAATGGAGGTCAGGCAACCGGCCGCTCTGTGGGCTTTGAGGAGAAGAACCCATGTGAGTTGCTTCGCATTTTTGCCTCTGCCCTTGTCTCTCGGATAACCCGACTGGTCGGTGACGAGGAGTTCTTCCTCTGAAGGACCTTCAAGCTCAACCATGGACCAATTGGGGTTCTCCATCTTCACCACCACCGGGGTCCCTCTGGGAGGTTCTTTCCCCGACCAATTGAACAAGGATTTCATTTCCGGGTTCGATCTCAGAAATCAAACTCAAAGAAACAAAAAATACGGATTCCTTTCTCAGTTTACCAGCAAGCTCTCTCTATCTCAATATCTACAGCGAACCGCTTGAAGAC